AGCTCCAGCTGCTAGCACTACCTCCCTGATCGGTGCTGCTGCCCCACGGCCTTCGCCTATCGCCCCCTATTCTGCCAATGCCACACCACCTTTGGAGGATATGTCTCAAGGCCATTCGTTAACCCCGGTGACCACCAATAGCTCTACCACTGCACCTCCCCCGCGAGCTCCGGGTCATAACGCTCTCCACAAGCGACCAGTCACCAAGGCGCTGATCTCCGAACCAAGATTTGTCTCCTGCACTTCGAACGTACCGACCGTTGGTCTCCCTCCCGGCGCGAGCTTGAGCAATGGCAGGGAAACGCCTCCAGTCCCGCCTATGAACCCTCGCCGCCGCCGCCAGACCACCACACAGACTATCCTTGGCGCCCTGAAGGGTGAAAGACACGAGTCGCAGTATGCACCATCGCTCGACGCAGCCATGATGGAAGAAACCAGCAATTTCTCCGACGATGGCGAGAAGCGGCCCAGATCCCGTGCCCGACTACGCAAAACGTCCAGCGAGGGAGGCAACCTGAACGCAAAGGCGCGGCAGCAGCTTCAACACCTGATGTCTGAGGCACCGCCAGCCGTTCCTTCATACCCGCCACCAAAGATTCCCATGGATGGAGGCATGTTCTAATCCTCATCCTCAAATCACGAACCTCATTCAATCCTTTCTTACTCACTTGTCCCTTCCTTCCCTACTTCCCTTTTCCTTTTCATCCTCTATCTCCTTCCTTCATTCACCTACCATTCTCCGATCATGATGTATTACTCGATGTCCTGAACTAGCATTCTGCATTTTAATGTTCGATACCTCTCGTTTGGAATTCTCGCATACATCATGATATACCAACAGCGTTATGTTGAGCGGACAGGACCCGACTGTCATTGTTTCCTACTCTGTGTGTGTTCATTTTTCCATTCATTCTCATATCTCGTCTAGCGGATTTTCCTTGTGTTCTATATCATATCATACCATATCCCACAAACCTAGGTTTAGCCTATCAATACTGAAAGATAATCCAAAGATTATTAAAAATATCCTTCCTATCCCTAGTAATGATTGTAAATGACTACTTCATCGACAACCCTTCCTACCATACCTCGTAGTATTCGCCCCAATCCAAAAAAGCAAGCCTATCTCTAAATCCCTTAGGTTTTCATCTCCAGCCACTTGTAGCAGAAAAAGCAGCCAACACACCGATCAACACGCCAGCCAAGCAAAACCTCTACCAACCTAGCAAGCCAGCCAGCCAGCCAGTGAGACCAGACACCTCCATTCACCCGTAATAAACAAATCGTTAGGCCAAAACGCACCCAAAAATAGTAAGGTTGTGCAGAAACGAAGAACGGAGTGGGTCACGTGTTTCAGGAAGCCCTGTTCTGCACGATGTTTGCGCAGACCCTCACCACCATCTCTGTTATAGGTTTCACATGTAGATACGAGATGCATGCATTATTTTTCTTTCTTTCATGGATTTTGATTCCAAAGGAGGGTTTTCGGGTGTGCATATGTAGTAGTTATGTGATTTACTAGGTATTTAGCTATCGAACTGAATTTCTTTCGAAGGAAAAGACGAACTTTGATGGATTCTACGACAGTATCAAGACCAAAGTCTCTGTGCAGATCCGCACCCACCCCCACGGGAAGAAGTCATACTGCTGTTGCATAATCGTCTAGGAGACTGAATTACCCATACGGTTGGGGATTCTAAAGCACGAAAAGCAAAGTAACAGAGAAACCGTTTTGTTTGATCAATTTAGTAAACTATCTCTCTGGGTGTGTGTTTTTTCATAGTGAATTAGTAAGAATGTAAGCAACATATCTGTTTCTTTTCCTTTTCTTTTTCGTGTGTTCAAGCTCTGACTCTATCTATCTCTCCGAGAAATAGTACTTTAAGTCAGACTCTGAATCATCATCGTCAAGGTTTCTTAGGATTAGGTGAGTTGTTTGGTTGTTGATCATCATCATCATCATCATCAAGAAGCTGATCGATAATCGGTTCGACAATAGTTCCCATCAATCTTTGCTGTGTTGATTCTGGATTGCAAAACTATTTCGATAGGCGAGGAGGAAACGCGAGTTAGGTGAGTATGAATATTTCTTTTCGTTGTTGTGTTGTTTCTTTCTTTTCTTTTCTTTTGCTCATGCCGCGTTTAGTGGTATACGTCGTTATGCCACGTCGAAGCGAGTCTTTCTGCACGTCCGAATTACCCTGCGTCATTGAAGACCTCGACACGTACTTCTGGATCTCACGAAAGCGCGGCGAGATGGGCCCGGAAATTCGTCGGACTAAGTCTGCGGACCCTGTCCTCCCTTCCGTGCCGCAAGTGGACGGACCGACCGAACAGCGCAAGGCCAACAAGAAAAGTAAGTCGAAGAAGAAGAGTAACAATAAAAAAAACAAAAACAAGGGAAAAGGCAAGGCTGTTGAGGTTGAGGTCGCGGTCGAGGACAATGTTGTTGTTGCTGTCGTTGATAGTGGCTGTGACGTGGCCAAGGAGGGACAACAACAGAAGCAGACTGAGAACGGCGATGACCATCGTGTTGATGATGTTGTTGTTGTTGTTGCTGCTACTGACAGCGCCATTTCTACTGCTGGTGGTGGTGAAGAAGTCAAGAATGGTGATAATATGCCTCCACCCTATTCCAGCGCGGGAGAGGACACAAGCATTGGCGAGCCTGCCTCTTCGGTGGTGACCAACTCGCCGGTGGCCAGAATGGCACCGGTCGCCGAAGCAGCTGTTCTCAAGGCGAAGATCTTGGAAGCGATGAAAAGAAAAGAAAGACTCGAACGCCAAATCCAAGAGGAACGCAACTCTAGTGCTCAGGCTAGCTCGTCCCAGAGATCTGTGCCTGCTAAGTCGGATACTTCGTCCATTAGCCAGCGACGGCCTGACAGTGGTAGTGTCGACAATCTTTCGCACGTCAACCGTTCGCAGCACAGTCCAGTGAGTGAGATGCGTGTCACTGGCAACAATTCGCAACCTTCCACCTCAGTCGTGGACTATTCTTCTGAAGAGGCTGTACGTACTTCGGGCTCTCGATCCGATGAACCTGACAGCCAGGGCCATTATCGTGCTGCTAACGGCAGAGAAACTCAACAGTACTGTCGGGCTCACATGCGGGCTCCTTGCCGCTTCGATCCAAGCTGCTGTGTTCATAAGCCCATTCAAGGATGCAACTGTCCCCCGAGATCGTCTTGCTGTTGTTCGCACCACAAAGGCGACTGCTGCACCTGCTTGACATATCTCAATACTGTGTCGGCCAAGAGCGACACTGAGACACCCAGCGATGTCGGTCAAGGTGTGGAAGGCGGTAGTACGGTTGCTGAACGCAACACTTCGATTGGAAAGAAAAGTGAGTTGATTGTGTAAATGACACTCTGTTCGGATTTCAAAGCTAACAGAGTGTCAGGCGTGGTAGATGAAAAGGGCAAGGGTGTGGATTCACTTTCGACACATCTCATTCAGTTGTTCGAAAGTCGTGAGCTCTGCGATTTTCACTTCAAACTGACGTCGTCGAGCAATGGCTTGTACCAATCCACCATCATCCCCGTGCAGGTGGCCGTTATCGCTCGCAGCCCGTTCGTTGCCGCGCTCCTGCGGACTCAGCTTTATCGGGAAGGACACCGCGAAATTGCTGTGACACTGGGTGACCAAGTCAACTTGATACAGGGATTCGAGCAAGCGATTCGCAACCTGTATGGGGCGCCCCTTCTCCACGGCGAGCAGCTGAGAACCGAGGCCCTTGCAGTACTGGGGTACACCGAAGAGTCTCAAAGCATGTACCCATTCCCGATCAGAACAGCCATGCTCGATTTGGCCTTTTCGTACGCTGCATCTGGAGCCTTCCTTCATGTCAGTGGCGTCCTCGAGGCAGGCATCAGAATGGCACTGGAGCTGATCGACTGGAGCACTGTCGAAACAATCATCCACTTTGGTCTCCGTGTGGATAGATTCTCAATTATTTTGGAGGGCACCGAAACTCCTCCGGGCAGCCCTCGCGCCAATCATACTCGGTCCGGACATGTCCTGGTCAGAAACCGACAGCTCCGAGACATCTGGGCCCCATTGCTGGTCAGAGCCGCGTTGTCGTTCATCGCCGAGAGCATCGATGACAAGTTCGTCTTGTACTCTCAAGCCCAAAGCCTGCATGTTCCAAACCGTATCCCAGAGAGCTTGAACACTGGACCTGGTGTCATAGGCTCTGAGCCGGGATCTGCCTCCGCGAACTCAACAACGACTGAGAGCAAGCCAAACCGCGAGACCTTGGTCGCCTCCGCTGTGCTGATCAGCCTCCCGTTCGTGCATCTGCAAGAGGTGTTCAGAACTTTGAGTTCACGTCGCGTACTGTCAAACAACCTCGCACAGGCGATAATGAGTGAGAGGGAATCGCGACGGTTGCAGGCACTGCGAGAGCTTGGCAAGAAAGGCGAGATCAATGAGAAGAACCTCCCCAGTGAGACGAAGGAGTTGGGCTACGGGGAATATCTCGTCTTCAAGAGTGTCTGCAAGCAAGGCCAAGGACCCGTGACGGTGACAACAGAAGTCAGCCTGGAGAGGGAGTGGATTGGTTGTCGGTCGCCAGACGCCAAACAGTAGCGAACCACCCCTGCTCTCCCTGGTGACGTGGAAGAGAGGGGTGGCACGCCTACTTGAAGCTTTGTGTGGCTCCTGTGTGCAGTTGATGAAGACAGACGAAAGGTGCTTGGGATGGAAAGGTAGGAAGGATGAGGTGGATAACACAGGAAGGGAGGAAGATGAAGGAGCACGCGAGAGAAGTAAACAGAGCTGGAGCGGTGAAGCGAAGCAGTATTGGGTTCTTATTTTCACATCTAGGGATTTCTTTGTGTTTTGTGCGGTCTTGTCGCTTGCTGGAGGGCGTTACTATTGCGAGATTCACTGGAGGATGTGCACGTGCTCACATTGAATAGCCCTGGAGTTTGTTTTTCGTTCTTGTTCTTTTCTGCACCGGAGTTGGCGGACATGCCAGATGGATATCATAACAGTTTCATTTTCATTATGCACAGTAAAGTAGGAAGAAATGCACAGACATCTCTGCTCTATGAGCTATACATTTCCCGAGACCATCTATACTTCTATACAGGCTTGATTGCTAACATCCTAGACCGTCGACCACTCACCAGGAGCTTATACACGGCCGATCTTGTCCGGGAATCCAAAGTCGAGCTTGAAAGGAGGGAAGACAAAACGCTGGAAGGCGTTCTTCGAGGCCAAGTCATTCGTGTACTTGGCAATGGTGGCCATATCAGCATCATCCAGTGCCACCAGGTTGCGGTTACCCTCAATCCGAGAGGGGTTCACGGACTTGGCAAGGACGGAGGAGCCACGGCTGACTATACGGATGAGATAATTAGAGATGATCCTCGCAGCATTCGACATGGGAGATACGTACTGTGCCAGCTCAGCAAAACCGTGGCTGGGTCAACACCCTTCTTCTTGGCAACCTCGACGATGGGCTCTGCCGTCAACAGTGGGCTACCCGTGCTGCCGAGAGGGCTGTATGCGGTGATGTGAATGCCCTTCTCCTTGCAGAAGTCAACAGCCTCCTGCTGGGGCAAGCAGGGGTGGTTCTCAATCTGGTTGACGGCTGGAACCACGGTGGCTTGGGCGAGGAGCTCCTCAAGGTAGGGTCTGCTGTAGTTGCAGACACCGATGGCCTTGGTCTTTCCGCTGCCGACAAGCTTCTCCATATCCTTCCAAGTGTTGATATGGGAGTGGTTGAGGTGCAGGTCGCGGGAACCGTCAGGGAGGGTGGGAATGTTAGGGTGGTTTCCTTTGTGATGTCAATATGCGCATCGCACTGAATCTGAACATTGCAGGACTTACCGTTGGGGTTCATGGCCACAGGCCAGTGGACCAGGTAGAGGTCAACATAGTCGAGTCCCAGATTCTTCAAGCTCTGGTCCAGAGCCTGTTCCACACGGTAGTGCCATGTGCTCCAGAGCTTGGTGGTCACGAAGAGTTCCTCTCGCTTGACAACCCCAGACTCGATGGCCGCCTTGATACCCTTGCCAACTTCTCCTTCGTTGCCGTAGGCGAAAGCGGTATCAATGTGTCTGTATCCAACGGAGATGGCATGGGCCACGGCCTTTTCGACCTCTCCAGGACCTGACTGCCAGGTTCCTGCACAGATATTAGCCAGAACGACCTTGTGGTTATCTGGAGATAAGCCATACCGAGTCCGAGAGCAGGGATCTCAGCCCCGGTGTTCAGCTTGAAGCGGGTGTCTGCGACGGTCGAAGTCGAACCCATTTTGGCGATATGTGGAGAGAAATGAAGGGAAGAAGGTATGTAGAGACTGCGTGAAGGTGAGAAAGAAAATAAGAAGACAGATAGACGACAAAAAGACGAGGATAAAGCTGTTGGAGAGGGTGGGGGAGAGGAGGGGAAGAAAAGGGCGACCCCCACGCTGCCCCTCCGCATCCCCGCCATTCGGGCCAAATGAGTCCGAGACCCTCTCCAGCTTCGCCTGTCAATCTTCATCCTCTCTAAGTCCCTCCCATCAACGGCCACATAGTCACTCCTTCTTCAGTCAACGTACGATGACTGCTTCACGCACATATCGCTTGCTGAGCTCAATTATTCACCCACAGAATAGCAAAGGGCAATACAACAGCAAGAAGGCGGCAACCCCAATTGCGGGAAGCTTATTGTTCGATAGCCGTCAACCCCGTTGCAATCAGCTCCACTTCTCAGGGACAATGGCTCAGCACGCGCGACTGGCAGACTGAAATCCGACCTTGCAGCGATCGTGGGTGCGCCCAGGAGTGCTGAGATCGCGACGAGAATCAGGACAGGAAGATCAAAGTCCAGCGATCATTGTCATGATCGCCATGACACAACCAAAGAAGTTGCAGAAGACATAAGTTTAGCAATGAAGGGAATCTCTTTGGACGACGACGGGCCGTGCGTGAACCCGAGGTTCGTCCGCGTCGGAAACCAGTATCCTAAAATGCGCCCACAGCAGCAGCCAAGACTGGGGCTAGAATGGGATGATTTCACTGCTCCGCAACGCTGAGCGTATCCGTTGGATCCAGATCTGTAGGACAGATCGCCGCACGTTCCACACTGGCGGGGGCGATCCCTAGAGGCATATCACCGACACTCTCTGCCTGCGGAAGCCACTTTCCGGGCTCCAGCCATGCTCCCACTCCCAAGGACTCCAGCACCATGGTCTCGACGATCAATTCTCTTCGGATTTCTAGAATCATACAACGTCATCCACACAAGGACTGGCAGACGTCGGTCTTTCGGAATTACCATACATTTTCGGTATTCTAGTGTGTGAAACATTGATATTTATGCTCCTGCTCCTCAAGCCTATTTTCTTCCAGCAACAAACCCCAGAGCATTTCTTTGATACCCTCAAGCTCAACACGCTTTCTTCTTTCATACATCCTTAAAAGTTACAATCACAATGGCACCTGTCGCCGTAGCTCCTGAATCCCCGGTGTTCAACACCAAGCGTGATGGACAGGCTCTTGAGGAGCTGTCGGACGCCATCGACAATGTCAACGTCCTCAAGGACAACATGAAGAAGCAGGAGAAGGGTCTTTACGAAGAGTCCGAGTTCGACAAGAACAAGGACAAGACCAAGTTCCGTCAGTACGAAGACGCCTGCGACCGGGTCAAGAACTTCTACAAGGAACAGCACACCAAGCAAACCGTGGCCTATAATCTCAAGGCCCGCAATGAGTTCCACTCCAAGACCCGCGCTGAGATGACCATCTGGGAGGCCATGGAGAAGCTCAACACCCTCATCGACGAGTCCGACCCGGACACCAGCCTCTCCCAGATCGAGCACCTCCTGCAATCCGCCGAGGCCATCCGCCGTGACGGCAAGCCCCGCTGGATGCAGCTGACCGGTCTCATCCACGATCTGGGCAAGCTGCTCTATTTCTTCGACGCGCAGGGCCAGTGGGATGTCGTCGGTGACACCTTCCCCGTCGGCTGTGGCTTCGATGAGCGCATCATCTACGGCCGCGAGTCCTTCAAGGACAACGAGGACTTCAACCACCCCATCTACGACACCAAGTTCGGAATCTACAGCCCCGGCTGCGGTCTCGACAACGTCATGCTCTCCTGGGGCCACGACGAATACCTCTACCACGTCGTCAAGGACCAGTCCACTCTCCCGGACGAGGCCCTCGCCATGATCCGCTACCACTCGTTCTACCCCTGGCACAATGCCGGTGCGTACCACGAGCTGATGAACGACCACGACAAGGAGATGTTCAAGGCTGTCAAGGCGTTCAACCCATATGATCTGTACAGCAAGAGCGACGATGTTCCCAGCCCTGAGGAACTCAAGGTAAGCCTATTCCCTCCATTCCAACATTGGTAACATCAAGCTAACATATATTGAATAGCCATACTACCTCGACCTGATCGACGAGTACTTCCCCAACAAGGTGATCAAGTGGTAGAGAATTGATATGATGTATGATTTTGGCTGGATGATTACATATATTGCTTCTTTTTCTTCTTCTTACACCATCTTTGCTTCTTATTCCCCTTTTACCACCCTAGCATGCACGCAAGCGATGATCTACGACCTACTGCAGTCACTTTTGAATCAAAGAATGGCATTGATTCCCTGCTCCTTTTCATTTTCCAATAAGTCTCTCTATCTTCACTGTATCCTCCATCCGTACTCTGTAAACAAGCCATGAATCACACAACCCCCACACCCCGGAGGATAAACACGTGAACACAGTAAGTAGATCCGATCAAAAATGAACCCAGTCGCCGATCACCCATGATCTAAGCAGAACCAGCAAGCAAGTAAGCATCTACCCCTCCTCTACTCAACTACTAAACACCCTTAGTACTTGAGACTATCTTTAACGGCTAAGAATACTTCCTACCAAAATGATCTACAACCTGCATAACCACACGCACCACCCGAACTAATTGATTGGTTCCTGCCCATACTTCGGAAACAAGGTCCCGGAGACGGTTTCTCTCCGGGGGATATTGCCCATCTCGGTAAAAACCAACTTTGAAAGCTCTGGAACGGCGGAGCTTGCTTTTTTGGGGGAAGTGGCGGGGTAGGTAGGTAGGTACTCAGGTGTGGTGGGGTGTGGGGCTTGCAGCATTTAGCACAGCATTTAGCACTTAGTAGCATGTATGTAGTTGGTCCAATAGTTACGTTACTGAATTAGCTGGGGATAGCTAGGTTGTTGAGCTGTTGCATGTCTCGCATCTAAGTGATTCAAGCATTATGCATCGTGATGCTGTAGTGAAAGAAGTCGTGTCATCTGGGAGCAGATGAATGATGGATTTATCTTGTTTCGGAGATATTCGCGCCGGTGTTTTAGCAGTCAGAAAGTACTGGAGGTGCGTGTGGAGTGATATGGGGGTTTGTTCTGAGTAGTAGTTGGTAGTCTGGTGGGATGTATACAAAGGATTACAGCTTAGCTTAATGTAATGTGGTGAGAGGGCGTCAATTAAACAGCGATCGCGCTTTTCATAACATGATGATGAAGGAAATACTAGTCATAACAGGAATCTATCGTGTCTATCATATCTCTCTAAAGTCTTGCCTTGGGAAGACGCTGGCCCTCCTCGTCGAAGAAGATCTTCTCGCCTGTGATCAGCGATTCTTGAAGGGCAGCGCCGATGCGGACTGCCTGGACGGCGCCCTCGAGCTTCAGAGGGACGGAGGTGTTCTCGAGACAGCAGGCCGTAAATTCGTTGGCCTCGGTGACGAAGGCGTACTCGAAGCGGTCGTAGTAGTGCTGGGGGATCTCGCGACGGACACCGGTCTCGTCGAAGATGTTGACCAGGTTCAGAGCAGGCTGGGTGTTCACAGCCAGCTTACCCTTAGTACCGATGATCTCGGTGGTGTCTTCCTGACCGGCGGCCATCATGCGCGAGGCGTAGAAGTAGGCGATCTTGCCGTTGTGGAACTCCACCAGACCGACGGCGTTGTCGCGGTCGTTGTGCTTGCGCAGGTCGGGCTCAACGGCGGTGATACCCACTGCGGACACGGACTTGACCTTGCTATCTTGACCGAAGAACCACAGAGCCAGGTCGATGTCGTGGATGGAGCAGTCCACGAAGATACCACCCGAGAACTCGGCGTAGGCGACGAAGAACCCGGTGGGGTCCAGCTTGTCGCAGGTCTGACTGCGCATGACGGAGGGAGAACCAATTCCACCAGCGGACATCTTGTTGAATGCGTCACGGTAGGAGGCATCGAAGCGACGGGAGAAACCGCACATCACTTTCAGTTCGGGCTTCTTGGCTGCTGCATCGAGGACGGTTTGGGACTATCGATGAGAGACATGTTAGCTGCATTGCTAGAAGGCATTGAGGGCAAGGAAGTGGGAACATACGATCTCGACACTGGTCGACAAGGGCTTCTCGCAGAGAACGTTCTTGCCAGCCTCAATGGCCTTGATGGCTTGTTCAGCGTGCACGGCGGTCGCGGAAGCAACGACGACGGCCTCCAGGCCTTCGTGCTTCAGCATGTCCTCATAGTTCTTGTAGGCCGTGACTCCGTACGGACCAAGGTTGGCCCTGGCCCATTCCAGCTCCGACTCGTCCGGAGTGCTAACGGCGACAAGGTCTGCACGCGGAGTACGCTGCAAGAAGTTGAGAGCATGACGCTTGCCCATGCGGCCCAGACCGGCACAGCCAACCTTAAGCTTTCTGGCAGACATTGTGATGGTAAAGGAGGAGGAGAAGAGTGTAGAAGAGGAATTGGTTTAGAGAAAGGGGGTCTTGTGTAACAGTCTGTAGAAGATGTGAGGAGAATTGAGGACAATGAGAGAGGAACGACAACAGCGAGGACGTGCAATTTAACCGCACGACGAGAAGCTCCAGCAAGAGTCGGTCTAGCTCTATCGGAAGGGGATGCGGAGAAGCTGGACCTGCCAAGTATCTTCTCCTCAGGTGTCTAGTTGGCCGGGGGAATGATTCCAGATTAGCCACTAGTAGTAGGAGATCAGCCCGGGCAAGGCGCCTGGAGGGTTTGGACCCCAGTGGAGATGGCCACTGCGACCCCGGATATCATCCTCCAGAGTGGCTCCGTGGGTCGGAATACCGGTCGGAAAAGGGATTCCTGGGAAGAAGCACAGTATTCAGAATAGCAGGCATCCAGGCATCGAGGATGATAAAATAAACCAACCTCCTCATGAGGGGGATGCAGTTGGGGATGGATGCATGACTTCTCCATCGATATCCCACCCACTAATCAGTTTAGTTGATTATCACTTGCCAGTCCTTGAATTGTTGTCAGAGACACGAAAACAAAACATCCTCACCGCACAAGGATAGAACCCTTCCGCTTCTGGTAATCACCGGCGCGAGTTTCCCCCGCCGGGGTTGGGGCAGCGGGGATTGGTGCCCTTTCCGGGGAAAAGACTGGGTCTGGACCCTCAATTCAGCATCACCCGGATCTATTCGGGGAATCAATCGCGCTCAATTGATTCTGCGGGTATTCGTTTGTCACCAGATTATCTCTGGAGCTATGACTATAACGCCTTGAAGATTTTGCTACCTATCCGGCCATTGATTTCCAGTGGGGTTTAGTCTCTCTGTGCGATACCGTCGAAACAGCCTGAGTAGGTCAATTAACAGCGATATCTGGCTGACAGTTTAGCTTGAGTTCATGGCGCTTCAAATTGCGCCGACATCTCGAATATCATCCATTGTAGTGTAACGGCTATCATACCTGTCTTTCACACAGGAGATCGGGGTTCGATTCCCCGCAATGGAATCTCTTTTTGTTTTTGTTCTCTACAAGTGCATCTCTGGACTACATTCAACAGTTGCGGAGTATGCAGGCAACCACGGCGGTCTCAAGCTCGCCGTGTTGGCGATTGCACCAGTCAAAACAATTGTCGCTTGTTGGACTGCCCTGGCTTTTGCCTGTCGTCATGATAGCAAGTATGATATATACATGGGTTTTCTTTTTGGGGTGATCCAGCTGAGCGGAGGTCAGCAAATACTAGGTGGGCTATCTCTATGCCGCTTCTGCCATTTGAAATTTTGCGGTGACGGTCAAAGTAGTACCGTGACAGTATGAGTTGGTGAGAACGAGATACTAATCCTAGGAAGACTAATGGTTGCATTTCTGGCATTTGCATCAATCACGCGATACATAATTACAACTCCGCCCCTCGCTTTGCATAAAGAGAACCTATGAACAAGTGTTGAATAGAAAGGTGCACCGGAACTATAAGACTCGCTAAAAACCGAATAGATCTCAGGACTCATTCTCCGCTTTTCCCGCCTTCGACGCAGCTGCTTTTCTCGCCCTCCTCTTAGCCGCTACTTCAACTGGATCCGCAAAGCCGTCCCCCTTCAGCCACGCCAGCGCCTTCCGCACACCCTTCCCTTGCACGGCGGACGGCCTCGTCTCGAGGATAGACCCAATGAGTGCCCACGCCAGCACAATGATACATAAGTCTCCGCCCTTCCAGCCCTTCCATAATCCGCGCTTGACGCCTGTCTTCCAGGCCGAGTCCACGGCTGCCCGGAAGAAGTACATGAAGATACCACGGCTGTTTGTGAGGAAAGCGAACGGAACGCCTGCGAGCGCCCCACTAAGGAAAAACCGTTTGGCCGGAAGCGCAGAGCGTGGAAGAAGGGTATTCCAGAGACAGATGCTACCCCATGCGGAGCCAGTAGATGCAGAGAGGATGGCGGTCAAGGTGATGATCTTCTTGGAGAGTTTGTTGATGGAACTGATGGGCTCGTTCATGAGGCCCTTGATATTGCGTAGAGATAGGGCTAGAGTGACGGTGGTTAGGAAACGAGCGAGCGGTGGGACTAAGAGGAGGATGTGGTGCAGGAAAGCGGTGCTGCAGCTGGGGCTGTTTGGGTGGAGTAAGGCACACGAGAGACTGGAGATTGCTGGATGGGCAGGGCCGGTGATAGGGGAGATGGATGTGAGAGTAGATGGCAGCGTGTTTGGGCTTCCTGGGTGTAAGATAGGGGAGGCAAATGCCCTGGTAGACGCATTAGTTGGGAAGGGCCGATTGAAAAGTAGATTGCTAGTACTTACGGCCACCGTAGGTTGGCAATGTTGGCCAAGGAGTCCACCACATCTTCCTTCTCCGGCCATGGTATCTCTAAGGGCAAGGACTCGGGGCGGCCGCGCACGTAGCTCGGAGAAAGCCTCAAGATGACATTTCCAAACCACTATTCGTATAAATCAGAGTATGTACCGTGCGAAGTATAAGACAGATCAACGAACCTTGGGTGCAGTCTCGCGATCGAAGATGAAAGCATGGAAGAGTTGGGCGCATGCAATTGGCATTAGCAACCAGCTTCCGAACCATCGAGGTCGATCCTTGAACCACCCCTTCTCATCTAGCGCATTGAACAGAAACTCCAAGCTACGAGTAGCTGTGTAGATTGCTGCTGTCAGCCGCAGTTGCTTCTGTGGACACAACCCCAGCGCAAACCCCGCGATACTGGCACCAACTGCGGGCGCAAATCGAGACGTGAGTGCTCTCGAGATCCGTGGGTTGCGATCCCGGAAAGGTCGAGCATCGTCTGTACGGAGGTTGGCACGCAACTTGACGAAGAAGCGATAGAGGAAGCGGTGGAGGAGGAGAAGTAGTGACAGGGAGATGGACAGGCGGAAGTTTGGGGAGCGCGTAAAAGATGTGCGCGATGTGTTCTTTCTGTAATAGATGTCGAAAATCAGCCACGCACATGAAACGTCGCCTCATACTCTTGGTGATCGTTAATATGCGAATACATAAGAGAGAACTTACTGGGATAGGTCGCCGCGGATCCTCCCAGCCACGACGTCAACGAGCTTCAACAGGGAGCTTGACAATACAAACACGCGTAACGACGTTCGAATGGAAGCTTCATTATGCTTGTTCTTAGACCGAACTATAGCCTCGAAAGCTGAAGGCGAGGGAAGCTTGTTCTGGATGGCCGAGGGAGTGCGCTGAACGGCATAATCGTGGAGCAGCTTGTACTCCTTGGCGCTGAGGGAAATGCGGAGAGCGTTGCGAACCACCGGATGGAGGTCGGGGTTAGGCGTGGAGTCGGACGCCATGGTGCGGTAAAATTTAACGGGTCATACGCGTGGGTCTCGACGATGGACTAAGCTCACATCATGAGAGACAGGGGATGGAAAGATAGAAAGCAAGGGACCGAGTGTGAGAAAAGGAGGGAATTAAGCTCCAGCGTTTCGGGGATTTGCAGCTGACCGTCCTGCGCGCCCGTGACCTCGGCTATTTCGCGCAATCACCTGAAAATGGGCTCTCGAGTCAGGTTATACTAAGATATACTTCAATTTTGTCAGAACTGCACTGTGCTGGTTTCATTACGAAATATTGGTAAAGTCAAATTCACTGTCTATATCACAAACTGTTCCATGCCATGTTGCCGTTGCAAGATGTAGAAAGCAATAGTATCACCATAAAAGGCCCTTGATAATCCATGCGTCCCCATCGTGGGTACATGACAAACACGGTACCTGGGTGAGAATGATAAGGGAATAATGCTACATAGAAAGTAAGAACGGAAATTGTAAAAGACATGATCGAGAAGCTGAAAAGGTGGGAACGATGAATGATGCCATGCAAAATCCGTTGCCATGATTTGCGCCACAATAAGACCCTAGAAAAACACGAACGGCGCTACAAGAATCACCAGAAACTGCACCATCCAATCCAATGCTGACAGATGTTCTCGACACTGGTGGCTTGCGCAAGAAGCTTGTCCACCTGGTCGCTGACGTTGAGTTCCTCACTCGGCTTGAAGTCTCTTCCTGTCAGCTTCTCCTTGACACGGGCAAGCACCTGGAGCGCTCGCGCGTTCTGCGCCTCTCTAGCTTCGTTGGGAATGCCCTCTTGTGCATCCAAGATACCGCCCTCAAGAATGGAAGGCCGGCGGTGACGAGAGAAGTTGCTGGGCTGTACCCCATGGTCGATGTTAATGTTAGAGACGACTGATTGACGGCGCTCGGCAGAGAATGGCATTCGATCTGGGGACTCGCGGATGCCCAAACGCCAGTTGATCAATGGATCGTGAATGAACTAAATCATCAAACATTAGCATGACTTCATCCATGGGATACAATATGTGCTTACCGCTTCCAAAACAGCCATCAGAGAATCCTTGTTCTCTCTCAAGACACGCATGACAGCCTCACAAGTGATGCGGTAACTTCCTTCGATGTTGCTGACTTCCATGGCAAATGTCAACATACGAGTCAATCGGAAAGGTACCCTCTCAGGATACTTCTCGCGGTGCATCGCCACCTCGAAGCAGTCACCGAAGTCGATATGGACCACTTTGCCTGTAACCCGATCCAGAAGCAGATTGGATGGGTGACGATCGCCAAGGCCAAGGATGTAACCAACCATGGACATGACACCAAGGGAACGCGTGTAGTTCGTGCGGCGCTCCAGCCAGGCCTCCGAGCTACTACTCTTGAGCCATAGAACGCGATAGAGGTCCTTTCCAGTGGTATTGTCCATGGCATAGCCGAACACCTCCACCTTCTGCATGAGTGTAAGATTATCATAATCCGGCGCCATCTGCAGCATAATGCGGTGTTCAATGTTCAGCAGGATACGTCGACTCTCTCGGTATTCCTTGATCAAGGCATGTAATGTGTCACTATTGGAAACCCATCCAAGGATACCAGAGCTCTGTGATAGCGGGATTGCAGGGAACCGTTGCACAGACAGATGCCGTTTGAAACTCTCTCCATCGTTATCAAGGAGTGTGTTGACCAGGCCGAAGAGTTGCATGACACGTTCATCTTGCCGGATGTCT